AAGCCAGTGAAGATTTATCAGAGATGGAGTAATATGGTCAAATTTAGGAATATAATACACAACTCGTGCAGCTGCATTGAGGACTTTTTGAAGACGTTCTAGTTGATAAGTAGGAATACCAAACAGTAATGAGTTGCAATAGTCCAGGTGTGATGTAACAAAGGCATGGATTAAGATCTTAGTTGTATCTGTAGTAAGAAATTTTCTAATTTGTCTGATGTTGTAAAGTCCTCTAAAGGCTTTACTGCAGGTCTTGCTGACATGATCACTCATAGACAAATGTTCATCAAACCACATGCCAAGATTTCTGATACTAGTTAAAGGTGTGATGTCGGCTGATCCCAATCTTAAAGAAGGTATATCCACTTTAGCAAGCTGTTGGCGAGTACCAATGATGATAAACTCTGTTTTGTTGTCATTGAATTTCAGTTTGTGAAAAGTAAGCCAAGCGCGAACATCGGCAACAGCAGCACTCAAAGCAGATAGTGCCCTATCAATATCATCAGAAGATGACGGTCGGAAGGATATGTAAAGTTGAGTGTCATCCGCGTAGCCTTGCATGTCAGGTAGATGTTTTTCCATAAGTTTAAAAAGTCGTGAGGTATACAGCAGAAACAGGATTGGACCAATACAACTTCCTTGTGGGACTCCATATTTCATTTGGTAGTCTTTAGAGCCAGATTTACCAATAACCACTCGCTGTTGTCTTTCAGATAAAAAGGAACGGACCCACTGAAGAGCATCATCAGTAACACCGAAATCAGATTCAAGTAAATTAAGTAGTAATTCATGATCGATAGTATCAAATGCAGAACTTAAGTCAAGTAATACGAGAAGAGTAACCTCTCGTCGATCCATGCTCAACAAGATGTCGTTATAGACCTTAAGTAGACAGGTTTCGGTAGAGTGGAATTTCCGATAGGCAGATTGGTTGTTGGGTAATGGTGCATTCTCAGAGCAGTGCGATAATAGTTGTTGAAGTACAAGTTTTTCAGCACACTTTGAAATGAAGGATAGATTACTGACAGGTCGAAAGTTGTTGAGAACAGGATCAAGATCAGGTTTTTTTAAAAGTGGTTTGACAAGAGCGCACTTCCAATCAGGAGGAACAAGTCCACCACGGATGGAGAGATTTACCATTTCAGTTATTACTGGGAGAAGTTCATCAATGCATAACTTGAGCAACCATGTAGGAATTGGATCAAGTTTAGAAGAAGCACTAGAGGAGGTCATGATGACACCACGAACATCCCTTTCAGTAACAGTAGAGAATGAACGAAGTTGAATTTCAGGTGGATGACAATGAATTTGTGGAGGTGTTATATGAACGTTGTCAATTTCTTCTCTTAGCAGATCAATTTTGCGGCAAAAGAAATCACCGAAGTCGTTGGCGAGTGTTTCACTGTCCTTATGAGGTGGTAACGGACATTCTTGCTTCCTATTACACAACGAGGAGACAACCTGAAATAGCTTACGGGAATCGCCAGAGCATTGATTAATCTCTTCAGTGTAGTAAAGATGTTTAGAGTCGTGGAGTAGCTTTGTATACTTGTTGCATATTTCGCGATAGGCATCTTTGTCAGATTCCAGATGACTTCGCAACATTTTCTTCTCAAATCTCCTTCGCTTAGCTTTCAAGTCCTTCAATTCTTGATTAAACCACGGGACCTTAGGCCTCACAGTAACAGTTTTGTGCAGCAAGGGAGCATTCATGTCTAAAATATCTGTAAGTACTTTGTCATAGGTCTTAGCCAAGTTTAAAAGGTCAGATGGAGGATCATGATGTAACTCAGATTCAAGAATGTTGTTCTTGAAAGTCTCAACGTCGATTTTCTTGTACTGACGAAAGCTGATTTCTTTTATCGAAAGTTCAGGGCGAGGAAAGGCGATAGTAGTTTCAATGAAGGAGTGATCGGAGATAGAGAGCGTAGCTTGAGGAGTTTGTAGAAGCACATCATGACATGATCGGGTCACAATAAGATCTAAGATATGACCAGATATATGCGTAGGTGTAGTAACATGTTGAATAAGGCCAAAAGTTTCCAGTAAAGCCGAGAATTTACGAGCATCAGTGTCAGTATGAATGTCGAGATGAAAATTGAAATCACCGGAAATGAGTAGAACATCGGGGCACATGACAATATTTTCCAGGTAGGCAGAGAATTCCTCGAAGAAGACATTAGGAGTTACGGGATGGGCTTAAGAGTAAGGTGGTCGGTATATACCGATGATTTTTAATGGTCGACTCAAGTTCGTAATGTTCCATTCACTATATTCAAAAGATCGTGTCTCTCCAGAATCAAGACGGGAAGACTGAAGATTATCTCTGTGTAATAGTCCGATGCCACCTGCAATGTGCTGCAAAAGTCGAGGAGAATTATGAAATAAATATCCTGGTGGTGATAGTGAAGAAATACTAACAGAATGTTCATGTTTAAGCCATGTCTCATTGAGGACACAAAGGTCGATTTTATTGCCCAGCACATGATCAATAATGAGACTAGTTTTCTTTCTCGCAGATCGTACATTAGCAAGAGCAAAACATAGTGGTTTTGGAGATGGAAATAAGCGCTGACATTTCCTCACATATGATAAGTTATTCTGTACGATGTTAGCCGTAGCATTATTGGATGTATTGTTCTTGTTGTTGATGTTGTTGTTCTCCACCGAAGAAATTAGCATGCAAGAATCGAGCGAGTTGGACAGATTTGCATGTTGACGTTTCTTTAAGCTCTCAAGAGAGTTGCAGGTTAATCGCACTGGTATGTTTAAGACTGATTTTTTGCGAATTTGTACCTTAATTCCAGCACGGCAGCCACGTTTAGCTCTTGACAATCCTAGTTCTTTGATGTTTGAGAACGTTTCATGAGATAAACGCGGTGTTAACTTGTGTTGAGAGATGTGGAGTCTAGTTTGCTTTAAGTAATCTTGAGGGTAATGGCGCGTGGAAAGACCATTCAAGTGCAGAGACGGCGTACGTTGGATTCTTGAATATACTGTCGACAGACACAGGATTGGGCGTCTGAAATTCATCCTTGGTTGTATAGTAACACGTTAACTTACTTGATGTAGAAAATAAAATCATGAAGCAGATAAATAACGCAAATAAATCGAGAAATAACGAGAGCTTAAGACAATAGGTGTGCTGCCAAGTGAGGCGCATACAATTTACAGAAGATGGGCTATGCGGCAACAATRTTTTGCWGATGCAATGAACAACTTAAAATGCCTCGCAAYTGGGCTAATGATAATTGATTATGAGTGTTTTTAAGTGCACGTCATTACATTCCATCTTTAAGCATTAAAACGCACCATAAGTTCAATAAGTAGCATAAGCTTACATGAAGGACGCCACTATGAAGGATGAAATTGTGCACAAATTACTGTAAGATCTCTATATAAACTTACCCAGTCTTAATATGTACGTGTTTCTTTAAGTATTGAAAGTAGTATAGTAATGTCTTGGAAGCGTTTAACTTGTATATAGGGTCTGGGAAGCAGCAGCACAAGAAGCTCTCTCCTCTGGGGGCGCCATAGCCACGCTACACAAAGCTCGACAGGAAATGTATGACGTCAAGTTGCTGACATATAATTAAGATCTGGAATTTGATGCTGTCTTTTTCTCTCGTGTATCTCTGGTGAACACAGCTATTTACACAATAATATTAACTCTYGTCGTGCTCGTCACAAAATGTCTCCTCTTCAAAAGTTCAACTGCCAACTAGTCGATGATGTTAAGCTTTTATTTCTGTCCGATCTGGTAAGTAAAGCTTTGTATTTTTAAAAACTTGTTATATGAATGTTTATATATCATACAGCACTAACCTGACCTTCTAAAACGGACAATTTAGAATTGCTAAAGAAATAATCGAGCTAAGTTAAAGTTAATTAAATAGAGCGTCCAATGACGATTYAAGCGAGGCGAGTTGCCATTGTGGCGGTTGTCTCTTCAGGTGAAATTTACATCTTTGGGGAACGACGCAAATTTGGAGGACTGATCTTTAGTTCTCAAAGGATCACTCTATAAATAGCATAACCCGAAAAAGTAATTGATAAGTAATCCACGAAAAATCAAACCCAGCCTGAATATAAAAAAGATGCGCGTTCAAGCTACATTACATGACGCGCGCACGTGTTCGTAAATTGATCATGGGCGGTGGGTTTCCAGTACTGACGCGAAAAATTCCTTGTGGTTAGTTTTTCTCCCATTTGCGCTAATTCATATTTACAATTGCTGTAGTAGTTGACCTAGTATTAAGCCATTAGTAGCATTGATACTAACAAAGTCTTACACGTTCAATTGATATTTCATCATATATTACTCTGACGATTTCACATAGTGATTTTAACTGCCAAATTCCACTGTATGTGAATCGATATGTCATACCGTGATTTTACTGGTATTTCGTGTATAA